TGACTGTTGGTGACTGGCTGACTGTTGGTGACCTGCCTTGCTGGTTGGCTGCAGGTGCCCAGAGAATCTGAATCTCTCTACAGAGGACTACCTGGCAGCCCTCAAGACTTGAGGAACTGCCAGTGTCTCACAACTGTCTTAACACGTTTGATTTATACTGAGCCATTTGTACTGTTTTATAATTTAACTGTTTATTTCTTGTGTTGTACATCTATCTATCTGTATAACTGCTTTATAATTTAACTGTTTATTTCTTATGTTATCTAGCTATATAAGTATATATATAATTATTATCAATATGGTTTTGTCTCTCTAGAGAATCCTGTCTAACATTTCTTCCAAACACCTGCCTTGATACCTCTGCCTGTCCTTCCTTCCCAACCCAGAGTAAATTTTAAGCTGCGCCTCAAGCCCCACCGGAACTGCTGGCTCTGTGCTAACCTCACACCTGCCCAGAAGAAGCAGGAAAGAAGGCCCCAAAGACTGCTGCCAGCTGGCGGGAGTAAGGGGATTGGGCACTTGACTCAGATGTTCCTCGACAAATTGGATGCTGGAAACCATTGCCGCTATACCTCCTTAACGTAAAATCATCATCGTCGTCATCATCATAAACCGGATAGTAGATTTTTTATTGCTGTTCTTAGGTGCCATCGAGTTGGTTCCAGCCCTCAGCGACCCTGTGCTCAACAGAAGCAAACCCTGCCCAGTGCTGCCCCATCCCCACAATTGTTCCCGAGCCTGAGCCCCTGGCTGCAGCCATGGGGTCAGTCCAGCTCGTTGCGCAACGTCAGATGAGAGCACTGAGACGTGAGGGGTAGATGTATGCTATCTGAACCTTCTCTCGGGGGAAGAGTTGACATCAACGAACTGTTCTGAGGCGGACGTGAGACATCGGGCAACAACATGCAGTAACCATTCCTCGTGGAAAGGACCTCTCAAAAGAAATACGATAAAAACCCCAAAGATGTTTCCAGGAGCTTTTTTTAATCACTGTCATTTTAAGTAAAGTTTTGTGATAGTATATTAATCAGCAAAAGAAAAAGACAGGGATATTATTTGTATATAATAGTGCCTTTCAGATTGCATTGAAACCCACGCATCTCACCTCCCACAGGTGCATCGTTGTGTAGCCGAGGGAAGAATGAGGAACAAACGGAAGGCGGATGCTTCCAACTCACCTGCCTGGTTGCCCCCTGAACAACTCAGAGTGTGTCTGCATTAGGAAATTGGTTCTCTCGAATTTGCAATCACACTCAGCGGTTAGGGCACCGGCTAGATGGTATTCATTCTCAGACAGGAAGACAGATGACATTTAAAGGTTTCTGTCTCCTGAAATATCAAGCCAGGGACCCTCCGTGTGGTGTTTGACTCAGTAAGGGAACCGTGAGATCACCCCTGGGGATGGAGGTTCACCATGTCCGTCCTTTTTCACCCCAGGACCTGGCCTGGCGTTGGGTTCATTCAGAGCAAGCTGACGTCTCTAACCAGGGGATCCTTTTCTTTCTCTTCCCCTAATCCATGTGTAGAGTGTGTTCTGGCCCCTGGGCTGGATCAATCATCCCTAATAGAATCATAGGGGTGAATGGAACCTTCCTGTTTCTCTAGTCCCAGTGGTCTAAGGTCACATATTAAAATCATAAGGTCTGGAAGTTCGCATCTTTTCCCAAGAACACAGCCTTCCTGCAAGGGCAAGTCTGACATTAAAAGGAATGAAAGGGGCAAATGAAAGATGAAAAATTGGAACCGGAGTATCCAGGAGTTTGGGACAAGAAAGAATTGTGCTTCTATTCATGGCTGGGAGTTGAGAAGCAGAATGGGCCTCTAAGCTGGCCCCCCCATACATTCCTGCTTTAACTTGGCCACAGGTGGCTGCTGGCTTCCAGGCAAGGCCGCAAAGCCTACTGAGTTTCCACCGCGCAGGGCGTGATGCTGGCGATGGAGAGGCTCTGCCCTCGGCAACTCAGGGCACCAGCCTGGCACTCGGTCATCGTCTGCTCCCGGCCGTTCACTTCCACACACACATGGAAGCCTCCTTCCTCACACTCTGCGGCATCTCGACATACACATTTGCTGCTCTGGGCTGGAAAACACATGAGAGGATGTGGCATCATGGGTGTCCGGAAGTGAGCACACTAGGTGAATTCAAAGGGACAGCCTTTCTGGTAGCTTAGGTACAAACTGCTTGGGACACCCAAGGCCCTCTTTAAAGCCAGAGTTGGATATAATAATAATAATTAAACTTACTTTGAGAGAGAGCGTGAAAACAAACCAGAGAAGAGTTGAGAAAGACAGACTGCTGATGAAAGAAAGACTACTGCCAGACACCTGTGGTGACTGGCCGACCGTGAGTGACTCAGGTGTGGTTAGATATATGTGTGCTACCAGGCACGGCAAGGAGGACGGGCCATGGCACCAGTGGGTGGGGACCAGGAGAGGAAGGGTCTAAAGAGCTCACCTTAAGGATTTTTCTTGTTTAGTTTCTCTTGCAGAAACACAGGGGGATGGGGTGGGGTATCACATGATGTGTGATTGGAACATTTCAACTGAACTGAGAAACAACGTATTTGTCATAAATACTTTTTTTAAATATTACTTTTAGCTACCTTACTACAGACACCTGCTTAGCTATGATATGGCATGCCATAACCAAAACCAAACTCACTGTTGCTGAGCCAAAGTCACGTCATAGTGACCCTACAGGACAAGGTAGAAGTGGTCCTGTGATATTCCAAACCGTCACTCTTTATGGGGGTGGAAAGCCTCATCTTTCTCCCTCAGACTGGCTGGTGATTTTAAACTTCTGACCGCGAGGTTCTCAGCCCAACATGTAACCCCTGTGCCATCAGGGCTTAGTCCTTGGTTTCTCTTTATTAAGGTACTCAGTATGCACCCCTGATAACAAACTTATGACTTAAGTTACCCTAATGCAATGGGAATTAATCTTCCCTTACCTTACTCTGCTCAGACCGGACCAGAGGGACTAGGCAGACACTCCATCAAGCCTCGGATCCACTGGAAGACTAACACTCTCCCAGAACGCCTGCCAGGACTCTGCCTTCCACTGCATCTCTGAGGCTCTTCCACTAAGGATAAGCCACCAGTCAAGACTTTCTTCCAAGACCACTCATCAAAGGTTGATGTTTAGGGCCAAAAGGAGTCCGGATGGCATGATGGGGCAATCCCTGAGTGCTAACCACAAAGCCTCAGCAAACCTATAGATAGATAGATCGGGTCCCTCTGAGTCGGAATTGACTCGGTGGCAGTGGGTTTGGTGTTAACCTAACATTACCCTCGCCTTACCCCCCAACATAAATGTCTTGGGGGTCTTACCTACATGCTGCACCATGACTACACTGCAGCAAAGTCAATGAGTTTATGTATGACCCACCTGAGCACTTCTCTCTTTAAAAATAAAATCTTCAGGAGACACACAGTATGGTGGCATCTGTGGGAGGTGTGCCCTGCCTTCTTCAAGGTCACTGTCTGTGCTGCTTGGCTAATCTTGACTCACCACACCTAAAAGTCATTCCTTTTCAGTTCTCTTCAAATCCTGACGATTTCTAGGAGAAAGTGTCACTTTGGTTCAGGTATGCTTTTAACACTCCTCTAACACTTGTGAAACTCCATTTAACACAAGGAAAGTTCCTCCTTCAAACTCAAGAGAGTTTTGCCAGAAGCCATATCTGGTTAGAACTTAAAGTTCTATCATGTTTCATTATCCTCACCTGTTTTTATGCAGGAGTCCTGGTGGCATAGTGGTTAGGCATTGATCTGCTGACAGCAAAGTCACCAGTTTGAAACCATCCACTGGGCCACGAGAGAAAGGTGAGGTTCTCTACTCCCTTTAAGAGTTATAGTCTTGGAAACCTATAGGGGCGGTTCTACCCAACACATAGAGTCACTAGGAGTTGGATTAGACTTGATGGCAGTGAGCTTGGGTTTTGAGTTGAGTATTTACAGTAGAGGTTAAGCACTTGGTGCTAAACAAAAGGTGTTTGGTTCAAGTTCACCCCAACCTCTCAGGGGAGGGAGGAAGCCTGGGAAAGTATATGGGGTTCTTCTATTCTGCAGCTCTAAGTCAAAAAAGCTTCATACACCTACCAACAATAGTATATATGGCATTGAGTTGATTCTGATGTATAGCAACTTTATATAGGGTTCCTGAAACTATAAATCTTTACAAGAGCAGGCAGCCCAATGCCTAACCCACAGTGCCACCAGAATTTTCCTTTTAAGGAAGTGATATAAAGTGTCTTTTTTTAAAAAATGTTTTATGTCTTTAGTAATGTATTTAAAGGGAAACTATGAGTCCATATAGAAGACAGATACTAGAGAGGCAAAGGAAACATTGTGAAGGTGGAATGGGAACCACAGACATTTAGGAAGAGAGTGTGACCGTCAGAGAACAGTCCTTGTTCTCTTAGGAAGTGGGTCTGCCCCGCCCCCCAGGAAGAGTGTAAGAGGAAAGCTTGCTCAGACCAGTGAACCCTCAGGGACCCCCTTTCATACAGTGGTAAACTAGAAATGGCTTTTCTTTTAGCCCCAGTACCGGGACTTTAGCATCCGTGCAGTTATGCAACATGGAAGGTGACATGCTCTCACCATCGCACTTCTCCCACAGCGAGCACGCTCCACAAGCTTTTTCGGCCGTAGCCCGCAGAGCACAGCTCTCTCTGGCAGCAAGAGTGTAACTCCTGCCCTGACAGGCAAGAACATGCATCTTGCACACTGTCAGAGGCAAGAAGCGTTTGCTTCTCCCATCCTGAGCACACACGTCCAAGGAAGATCTGAAAAGAATTTTAAATCACATTACAGGCAATTCCCAAGTATGACAGGCCTATGTTCCTAGCACTGCTTTGTAAATGGGTTTGACATAGATCAAATACCTCTCTTTTTTCTGATTTTAGCTTTCTTTATAATAGTCTTTTACTATCAGTGCCTTTATCCATATCCAAACTTTATTGCCTTTGGGGGTGGAAACATTCTGTATAAACCTACAGATTTGACAACACAAGCAAATAACCCACTGCAACATTGTAAGCAGCACGTATAACTAACCATAAGATGCACACAACCTTTTAAAAAAGTGGGGGGTGGACTGTCAAGAATGCCATTGGTCATAGGGAAAAGCTACTGTATACAAACAGTTGGGGGGTGAGGTCCTGGCAGTATGGAAGGGGCTAGACCAAATCCAGGGATACATTTGGTAGCCAACTAAAAAGGAAAGGGGGAAGGGAGGGGGGACATGGGTTGTGGGGGCACGGGGCACTAACCCACCCAAGGGGAGAGTATTGTTTATATCACCACAAGGAAAGAGGGACCAGACTTCAACCCAGTGCTCCAAGATGTGAATACAACATACTGGCATGAAGCAGGGAACCAGTAGAGAGGGCTGAGGAGCCGGCCCAAATCCCAACTGCTTAGACAGCTGCCCCTACCCCCAGAAGAATTTGCTTCAGAGGGCAGCACTGAAGCTACAGTTTAGGGAGAGGGACATGTCTGATAAGAGCATACAGGAGCAAATGAAGGGGAGGAAGAGAAAATGTAGCACATCCTGACCTTGAGGACAATATCCCTGCTCAGAGCAGCCAATGCACAAAGAGGACCATATGGTTGGCCCTACTAGGAGACACAACATCCCTTACTAACCCATAGCCATACGGGGGACAACACTGGAGACACAGTGCGGAAATTGTGCCTGATCTGACGCCACCACACCAAGGTGAAACACTAAAGGTGTGCAACAGAACAGCAAGGGGAGCAGAGCATGGAAGTCCCGAGGGAATACCAAAAATAGACTTTGGGGCGAGGGTGTGCCACGCCATCAGACTTGACTGGTAAATACTCCTAAAGGTCAACAAACAGACCTTGAACTATTTACAGGCTTTTCCTTTTTTGTCATTGGTTTTTTGTTATTATTGTTTTGTTTTCTTTTGTTGCTTTGTTTTGCTCTGTCTTGTTTTTGTGCATATTATTATCTCTGCAGGTCTATCTTGATAAGATAGGCGGGATAAACAATCTGGAGGAGAAAACAGTGGGACAGACGGTTCCAGGGGGACATGGGAGAGAGGGAGGCAGGGGAAAGGAAGTGGGTGTTAACAAACCCAAGGACAAGGAAACAAGTGATCCAAAATCAATGGCGAGGAGGGTGTAGGAGGCCTGGTAGGGCTTGATCAAGGGCAATGT